TGGCCTCGATTCCTGTTAATTCATCCGTTGTGTACGCGAAAACGTCCGTAAATTCCATTATCAAATTGATCAGCTTCGACCTGATTGGCTCTCCCAAATCTTTCCAAATTTTGAATTTTCGTTCATCGCATCCCTGCACCATTTGAATTTCCTCGACCTCCTCTCCAGGCTGTATGTCTATCTTCTCCTTCCCCTTGCCTTGTCCTCCTCTCTCCTCTCTCACTCGTGATCCTCCCGGTCGATCAGGCCTCACTTCCTTGCCTTTCAACTGCCTTTCCGCCATATGTTTGTTGTTACTGACTGTGGTCTGATAGCAACTCCTCGACGTGAGCTGGTCCCCGGCAATCTCGCCTACATTTTCCCCCACAGGATACTTGATCGTCATGTGGTAAGTAGACACGACCGGTTGGAACGCATTCAAACCCGTTCGCCCTAAAATGATATTGTAAGACGATTCTGCTCCGACCACCACAAACCGGATCATTCTTACTTTCCTCGAGTCGCCCGCCCCTAACGCTGCAGTCAAGCTCACTTCGCCCATTGGCATTACTTCTCCACCATTGAATCCGTACAAAGCTGTCGCCACTGGTTTCAACTCCAGATTCAGATGTTTGTTGATCTGGGCAAAACAATCGTAGAACATCACGTCGACCGAGCTCCCTGTGTCGATGAATATTCTTTTCACATCAAACCCTGCCACTTCAGTTGTGATGACCAGTGCGTCGTTATGAGGTAGCAAGATTCCCTCCGCGTCTTCTGCTCGAAAGCTTATCACAGGCATCCGACCAGTTATCCCGACTTCCTCTCTTTTACGCTTCACCGCCTGTACATGCCCCTTTCGCGCATTATTTGAATCTCCATCCGTTGGTCCTCCTGAAATCATGTAAATCGTGCCCCTCTTCACAGGTACCTCCTCCCTCAGGTCCTCTCGACCATCGTTTGGTCGTTTTTTTCTTTCTCTCCTGGCATCGTCTTCTCCATCGTCGTCCCTATCACTCCTTGCCACAGAATTTTCCCTGCATCTTCTCCTTTCTCTACCTCGCGGTCGGTCACGAATGACAAATTCCTTCAAGTGCCCTGCCCGTATGAGACGCTCGATCTCGTCTTTCAAGTGCCTACAATCGTCTGTATTATGTCCGTAGTCCCTATGAAATCTGCAGTATTTATTCGACCTCGGTTTGGTCGGTCCCTCGAACCTGGTCGTTGGCCAGGTGACTTCCTTGCTTTCCAACATCTCCTCTATGGCCGCCAAGACTTCGCCCATCTGGGCGTTAATGGGAGTAAAATGATTATATCTCTGACCGCTTGGTAGCCGAGGTCGCCCCTGCCAACGATCTTCCCTCCTTTCTCGGAACGACTTTTGCCCATCCCTCCTGGGCGACGGCCTCTTAAAAGATCCTCCTCTTGGAGAAATTTTCCTAGGTGATCCCCTCCTGGGCGAACTTGTCTTTCCTTTTTTCTGCTCGGGTTTCACAACGTCCTCGAGCTTGGCGAATTCTGCTTCCGTTTCTTCCAGGTTAATGTATTTCTTGCATCTTTTGAGCACCTCATCGTAGGTTCGAGCAGGCGTCTTTGCCAGCGACGTTCGACATGGTCCTGGCCTCAGACTTCTAATCAATCCTCCTGCTTTCACCTCGTCACCTGCCGTGGGCACCTCCAGACACACCTGATTATATCGAGCAACGTACTTCCGTAAGGATTCCTTCTCGCCCTGTCTCATTGCCATCAATGTAAGGTATGTCTTCTCCTGGGCGACCGCACTTGAGTATTGGTTAATGAGTTGTACCGTGAAATCCTCAAAATCCCTGATCGAACCTGGGGCCAGTTGGTGGAACCAGTCAAGCGCACCTCCCCGTAAGGTCGACAGGAAGGCCCTGCAGCTGACCGGGTCTGAGTATCCATGTAAGACGGACATGTTTTTAAATGCTCTCACGTGTCTCGACGGGTCGCTCGATCCATCGAAAACCAGGTTTATCTCCCGGATACTTGCCGGTAACGGCGCAGCCAAGATTTCCCTCGAGAATGGGTGTCCTCGAGCACGTTTTTCTGGCCTCCCTTCCACCTTCTCCTGCAATTGTCTAAGCTGCTCAGCCATCCTCTCCATAGCTCTATCTCTGTACTCTCCTCCTCCGCCATAACTTGACACGTCCTCTTCTTGTGTTCCCTGCACCGTTGTCGGCGCAGTGGCGGCCTGGGATGTCTGGTGAGTAGCTTGTTGCACAGCCTGTGCCGCCGCGTCGGCCACCATCCTCTGCACTTCTTCTCTTGTCATGGCCACCACTTGTTGAGCAGGGGGTTGTGGTATTCCTCCTGTTGGCGGCATCATGGTTTGCACTGTCGGCCCTGTTTGCTGCATCACGACCGGGCCCGCTTGCAACGGAGCGGGGACTACCGTGGGCACCGCTTCACGAGCTTCGTGCTCTCTGCTCGTGCCTGCTCCTCCTCCCAAGATCGTTGTACCCTGGGGCATCGGCGTCGGGGTCACCGGTGTTTGTGAGGGTCCAGAGAATCCAGGTGGAGGTCCTGCTCCCATCGGTCTTGTCGTCGTCCACGCCTCGTCAAATGAAGACTGCAAATTCACTCGAGGAACTCCGTCCGCTATAGCTGAGCTCAGAACACAACTTTTCGAACAAGAGTTCCCACAGACGGCGCCAATAATACAAGTCTCGCACCCTGCCCGGCTGGAATTCGCCTTGAGCTTGCTTTCCTCGCCGGTTAAACGCGGAACCTGCACGAAACTCCCACACCGGAGGTGTTTTCCGGTGAAGAGCCTCCAACGCTCAAGTCAGATCTTGAGAGATGATATTAGTGTATAGATAAATGTAAGAGTATGTCAGATCGTGTTGAAAATGAGGATTCTCGCCCCTATTTATAGGGACGAGTTACCTGAGTTGCACGCGCGAGCTGAGTGCGTTCGGCCAATTGTCCTCTGCTCGTCCGTACGACTGCGCGCCTCCACTATCCCCGGTGTCAGAAAACGCGTCACCTTTGTCAGAGAATGTCAGAGTCGGTTACGGCTGTTGACCACTCACCATGCACCGCGTGTCCTCCTCCTTATGTGCTGGAGATTCCTCTATGCGCTCCGATGCTCTATCAGTTACGTACGTCTATGTCTCTTCGATCGTCCTCTCTCGACCATATCCTCAGATGACTTGTATCTGTCGACCACCCCGGCTCTCCTTTACTGTCGTTATCTGCTCGATCTTCTAACGGCCGGTGTCTGGTCTTGCTCGACCATGCCATTCGACCTTATCCCCTCTAGACCGTCCAACAAACCGGTCGGTCTCCTTCGATTAGCCCTATAAACCGGTCCAGTATATAACATCCCATATCAATGTCCATTAGTGGCCCTGGAGATAGCCTGGTTCTGTGAGAGGGTCTAAGAATTAAGCCTCACACAATTCTCTTCAAAGCGGCCCCACTTCTCTCTCACATATGTGATTCTCAATTAATAGTAGCCCGCACTACCTTCCCATACAAGAATCATTAAAAGCCAAAATGCTTATCCTACTCACCACGGGTATCACTGTTTAAGGAATGGACAATGGATAAAATCCCAGTGATCACAATAGTCTTTTAACAATTAGGTTGTCCCTTTGAACCAAGATCTTGGGATCTCCAGTCAACAAGGTAGGGTTTCCATTGTATCAACTCATTTCTAGAGGTTTAAGTCCCATTTCTCTCAAAGATTTAGCAACCAACTCTCTATTTAACTTTTTGGTTAGCAGATCCGCAAGATTATCTTTTGACTTTACATAGTCAATAGATATAGTACCAGTCGAGATCAGTTGTCTAATGGTATTATGTCTTCGACGGATATGTCTAGACTTACCATTATACATATTACTTTGTGCCCTGTCTATAGCCGATTGACTATCACAATGTATACAAATGGTTGGCACTGGCTTAGACCATTTTGGAATATCTTCTAAGAAATGGCGAAGCCACTCTGCCTCTTCTCCACTTTTGTCCAATGTTATAAACTCGGACTCCATTGTGGATCTGGCAATAGCAGTTTGCTTAGAAGATTTCCATGATATGGCTGCACCTCCCAAAGTGAATATATATCCACTAGTGGATTTAGAATCTTTCATATCAGATATCCAGTTGGCATCACTATAGCCTTCAATTACAGCTGGATATTTACAATAGTGCAAACCATATTTACAAGTATATCTCAAGTATCTGAGTAATCTCACAATTCCTTTCCAGTGTTCATTTCCTGGATTACTTGTATATCTACTCAGATTACTCATGGCAAAGGCGATGTCTGGTCTAGTACAATTAATTAGATACATCAGACTCCCTATCACCGCATCACTGGTCTAGTACAATTCATTAGATACATCAGACTCCCTATCACCCTTGAATATTCGACTTGAGAAACACTTTCTCCTTTATTTTCGACAGATGCTGACTTGTATCTATCGGGTTCCTAGCCTGAGTAAAATCATCCTTATTAAATTTTTCAAGGATTTTCTCCACATAATGTGTCTGACTCAGAACAATTCCTTGTGATGTTCTATGAATTTTAATTCCAAGAATCACATCAGCTAGACCCACATCTTTCATGTCAAATCTTGAATTTAACATATCTTTTGTGGATTTAATAATTTTATCATTGCTTCCAACGATAAGCATGTCATCTACGTAAAGACATAAGATTACATAACCTTTTTCTGTGTCTTTAACATAAACACATTTATCACATTCATTAATTTTAAATCCACATTCAATCATGACATTATCAAACTTCTCATGCCATTGTTTTGGAGCTTGTTTTAAGCCATACAAAGGCTTAACCAATTTGCAAACTTTATTCTCTTTCCCGGGAGCAGAGAACCCTTCAGGTTGCTCCATATAAATCTCTTCTTCTAAATCTCCATTTAGAAAAGCTGTTTTTACATCCATTTGATGTATTTCAAGATTTCGTAAAGCTGCAATAGCAATAATCACCCTGATGGATGTTATCCTCGTCACTGGAGAATATGTATCAAAGTAATCAAGACCTTCTTTTTGTTTATATCCTTTAATCACAAGTCTAGCCTTATACTTATCAATTGTTCCATCAGGTTTCATTTTCCTTTTGAAAATCCATCTATAGCCCAATGGTTTACTTCCAGGAGGAAGATCCACTAGCTCCCATGTGTGATTTTGCAAAATGGAATCAATTTCACTTTGGATTGCCTCTTTCCAAAGAGGTCCTTCAGAAGAATTTACAGCTTCTGAAAACGTTTGTGGTTCGCTTTCAACCATATAGGTTAGAAAATCTGGACCAAAAGATTTTTTTATCCTACCTCTTTTACTTTTCTGAGGTTCTACCTCAGCATATCCATCTTGATATTTTTTCATTATTTCCAAATTTCTTTTAGTGGAACTAGAATCCACTTCAGACTTCCGTGGAAATATATGCTCAAAAAATGAAGCATTTCTAGATTCAAGTATCATGTTCTTATGAATTTCCTCAATTTTGGATTCATGTACAAGAAAACGATAAGCACAACTGTTGTGTGCATATCCAATAATTACGCAATCAACAGTTTTGGTCCAATCTTTATTTTCTTTGGCGTAGGTATTGCCACTTTTGCCAAACACCCCCACACTCGCAAGTATTTGTAGGATGGTGGTCTTTCATGCCATAATTCATATGGGCTTTTGTCTATCTTTTTACGGGGAACCTTATTTAAAAGGTAATTTGCTGATAACACAGCTTCTCCCCACATGTTCTGCGAAAGTCCAGAACTTAACAACATTGAATTCATCATTTCTTTCAAAGTACGATTTTTTCTTTCCGCAATCCCATTTTGTTGCGGTGAATAAGGTGCTGTCATTTCATGTCTTATCCCATGTTGGACACAGAATTCAGCAAAAGGTGACTCATATTCACCTCCCCTGTCACTTCTTATCACCTTAATCTTTTTATTTAGCTGATTTTCAACTTCGTTTTTGTAGAGAACAAATTTCTCTATCACTTCATCTTTACTTTTGAGGAGATACACATAACAAAATTTAGTGCTATCATCTACAAACGTAATGCAATATTTATTTCCACCACGTTTCGTAACAACTTTTAAATCACATACATCAGTGTGAATTAACTAAGTGGTTCACTATTTCTTTCAATAGTTTGAAATGGTAATCGTGTCAATTTTGCTTCAACACAAGTTTCACACTTATTTTTTGAATCAATATGAAACATAGGTATGCTTTTCAATTTTATTAACCTGCGCAGGGTATTATAATTGACATGTCCCAGTCTACCATGCCACACAATGGAAGACTCAAGCATATAAACGGAAGAATTAATATTTTTATTAATTGTCATCACATTGAGCTTAAAAAGCCCATTACATTCATAACCCTTCCCTACAAATGCTCCATTTTTAGTCAAAATGACCTTATCAGATTCAAACACAACACGAAAACCATGTTTGATCAATAAAGAACCAGACACTAGGTTCTTACGAATTTCTGGTACATAAAGGACATTATTAAGAGTCAACTCTTTTGCAGATGTCATCTTCAGTACCACTTTTCCCACTCCTTTGATGTCAGATGTGGCAGAATTTCCCATGAAGAGCTTTTCTCCATCCACAGTCTCGTCAAGGATATTAAACAATTCTTTGTTAGAGCAACCATGACGGGTAGCACCCGTGTCAATCCACCATTCATGTGGATTTGAGCCCACCAGATTCACCTCGGATATAACTGCGGCGAGGTGCATCTCATCAACATCTTTGGCCAGATTTTCCACCATGTGGGCTTCCTGAGTTTTCTTTGGCAACCTGCAATCAGATGCCTTATGGCCAAGTTTATTACAATTATAACAATTTCCAGAAAACTTTTTCTTGAAAATTTGTTTCCTTGGCCCCATTATTGCCTTTCCATTATTGCCAACTTTTTTCTTATTATTTTTGTTTGAGCTTTCGCCATGCTCAACAACATTAGTCTTGGCAACATGAGGATTAACCATTTTGTTTTCGTAGCCCTTGTTGTCTTCTTCAATTCGAAGTCTAACAACGAGCTCTTCAACGGTCATCTCCTTTTTCTTATGTAATAAATAATTTTTGAAATCTTTCCAGCTCGGTGGTAGCTTTGCAATTATTGCAACCACCTGGAAAGTTTCATTCACAACCATTCCCTCGGAATGGATATCATGCAAGATTATTTGAAACTCTTGCACTTGACTGATTACAGTCTTCGAGTCAACCATCTTGTAGTCCAGAAACCGGCTTACAAGAAATTTCTTGGCCCCAGCGTCTTCGGTTTTATATTTTTTATCCAAAGACTCCCACAGCTCTTTTGCTGTTTTGATAAAATTGTACACGTTGTACAACGTATCAGCCAAGCAGTTCATCACATAATTTCTACACAAGAAATCCGAGTGATTCCATGCATCAAGCGCACTAACCGCTTGAACATCCGGATTTTCCCCCAACTTTGGTGGATTTTCCGTCAAGAACCTCGCAAGGTTCAACGTAGTGAGATAAAACAGCATCTTTTGCTGCCAACGCTTGAAATTCAAGCCATTAAATTTTTTCGGTTTATCAGCATGATTTACCGGAACAGAAGGAGAAATAGAAATTGTAGTAGCACCACCGGTATTAGCAACGCCAATAGTATTTTGTTCAGCAGCCATCTTTAATCGGAATATGTTTTAAGTTTGTAGGGAAATTTAACGGGATAATAAAAATAAGATGGCTATAATATATAATATCGAAGCCTGTGATAACACAGTATCCTTAAAATAGATTCGTCCCGTATGAGCGTCTCCCAGGATACATCGGAAAAACCGAAACTAATCCGGCGAACTGGAACTATGCATGGACCAAAACACTTAAAACACTTAAAAGAAAATTGGGGAAAAGCCTTTTGTAATGTTTTTTCTTTCCTTGTTTTTTCTTCTCGTGTGTTTTCTTCAAAAGATAAGAAGTCCCTTTTATAGGCTATGATAAGACATATTCATTAAGTCATTCATTTACTCCAAGAGTTAATGTAGTTAAGTTAAATGTAACATTAATAAAACCAAGTTACATGTTTAAAAAATGAAGACACGGTTTCAAATTAAATTTTCAGTTGCAACTTTCATTCAATTTTCCAACAGATGGTTTGTGGAAAATCGCCCGGACATGGCTTGGCCACGTCACGGCAGTGGCGGCGGCGCTCTGGCCGGCAGAGAGGAAGATGGCGGCGCGGCGGCGTTCCAAGGCTCGCTGAGCGAAAATTGATGGGTCAGGGACGTTCACAAGGTGACGACGAACTTGATTGAGAGCTCAATTTGGGATGGGACGAGCTGGTGGTGCTGGTTTACGGCGGCGGCGGCTGCAGTGGTCGGCGGGTGAAACAAAAGGGCGAGGACAGAGCCGACGTCCGCGTAATTGAAGCGAGGGCAGAAACGGAGGGGATGACACGTAGGAGGGCGAGCTGGACAGGCGAAGTAGGAGGTGGCGCGAGCGAAGCCTGAGGAAGGCCGGAGAAGCATGGCAGCAGCGATGAGGTGCTCTGCACCGAACATAGGAAGGGGAAAGATCTCCAAAAGGACACTTTTGCAAAATTACGAAACTGCCCTTGGTTTTCAAATACAAATTACTTCCAAATTTTGAACTGCACTCAAAAATCTCCGAACATGAAAGTTGCTCTATTTGACCTCCTCTACAATTTTGTCAATTGAGCCAACCTCCAATTCTTGCTCCATTTTAAAATCCATTTTCGGGAAAAAAATAGGGTTTTAGGGAGATTTAAAATTACTTTAAATTTTTTATTGAAACTTGGAAAACTCCCAATACAAAAGTTGTCCATCTTGACAAGATCTACAACTTTGCTTTTGGGGTCACCCTCAATTTTTTTTAGTTTTTGAACAACAGAAAAGGGGGTGAAGGAAGGAAATAAATTGGGGGTTTTTGTCGGGAGACAATCGCACCACTTATCACAATTGCACATACAACCTAGGGATTAAACCTTGTTTTAGTAAATGCAGGTTAATTTGACTAATCACACAAGTGCAATGTGATGCAATACTCATGATGACATGTTTAATTTTAATTAATTTTATTATAACTCCAGGGGTGTTACACACGGCACCCTAGCTAGGGCGCCATGGAGCCCTAACTATGGCAGGTGGGCCCCACTTTTCAGGGGTAGGTCTCTGGGGTCTTCTAGAGTCTTCTTTTCTTGATATGCAAGTAATATTGCGTCTGGATGATTGTTTGGTGATTAAGGTATCTCTAGCTTAGATTACTTTCCTTAGTTGTGAAGCAATCCTGGTTGTTTTCTGATATGGTCCCTAAAATCATAGGTATTCACAAAACTCGTGGAACTTTGTCAGTACAACCCTTATATTTATGTTTTAGTTCCATTTCTCATGTCTTTTAACCTCTAATTTTAGGTGATAACAGGTGTCAACAAGCTCCCCCAAGCTTACCCTTTGCTAGTCCCTAAGCAAAGTTTAACTTCAAAAAGTATTTCATGAGTTAAAAGTTCTATGGGGAGTCTTGGAGAAAAATATTAAGCTGTTATTGTAAGTACACCTGTTTAGCAAAAATTCTTCTCAAGAATTAGAGTGGACTATTCTAACCATCAACTTACTCATATTACCTTTAACTATGGAGCTTATTATCTTTTACTTAGGTCATGAGCAATCAAGGGACAGAACAATCAAGTCAAGCACTATACTCAAGCTTGTCACTTAACTATTATTCTGGAGTTTTTAATAGGTTTCAAGATAAAACTCAAAGTTAGTTGTATGACACTCACAAGTCTCTCAATATGTGGTATTTGGATCCTTACCAAGGCAATGAAAGGGTTATGCCTTCTCTTAACATATATCTAATAAATGTGTATATTAACAAGGCTTATATGTGGAGCTATAGGTATGAAGATAACATGCATACTTGTAAAGAATATATTGTAAAGTCAAATAATAGATCCAAAGAGCAACAAGTCATACAATCAAATCAAGAAGTGCATGTGCATGAATATGTGTGGTGGAAAGGGTATAATGGGAATGGTGGCAATGGTGGTTATGATAGATATGGATGGAACATGAATAGCAATGAAGATTCATGCAAGAAAAGTACTATACTTTTAGATCAAGATATATGACAACTAATCCTAATTCTACTATGCTCCTTGAATTTCTA